TCAACAGGCCGTGCAGGTGTATCATACGCCATACGCGTGCCAAGACAAAGACCATCTTAAGGGTTGGTCTATTGTGCCCCAGGTATCTTTGCACAGTAAACTACCTATTCCAAACGATGAAGATTACACCTTCGACACAAACACATATGATGGAGAGTTCTATCAAGTAGATGGGCTACAAGGGAGCTTTGAGATAGTCTTACCCGGTGTGACGACCGCCATGGAAGTAGACAATGAAACGGTTGATGACGAGGACCCTGGAGATGTAGTGCTAAATCCGAAGGACATTCAAATGCTTGAGCGATTCCATTTAGGCAAAGACAATGAAGAAGACACAGAACCTTCGGATAGTGTTGCCCATTTGGACAATTTTGACAGTGATGATGAGACCTATGACCCTAATCATGAAGATTATTCCTAAACCTTGTAATACTATGTTTTTTTATTAAATTTTGTTATGTTTATTCATTTTGAACTATTTGACATGTATGTACTAACGCTTGTTGTTCATTCTTTGTACATTGTAGGTGACAGAACAAAGATGGTGGGCAACCGTTCACCGAGGCAGGTGCTCTCGGTGTACCAGAGGCTACGCCCTCCTGTTGGAGGCAAGGGGACGTCTTCACCCCCAGCGGCGAGAGCAGGCCCGGGTCGCCCCAGCACGGGGAGGGGGAGGGGGAGGGGGAGGGGCTAGGGTTGCCCTAGGAGGGACCCGCCTCCTCCCCCGGCTCTCGACCAGCCGGAGGACCCGTCTCCTACCCCGGAGGACCACATGGTGGCCACGGGCACGACCATAGACACTTCATCGGGGGACGAGGGGACTCAGCAGATGGAGGACAGTTCTGCTCAGTCGGCTCCCTACCTATGAGGTCCCACAAGCCTTCCTCCAGTTCCGCTTCCTGACCGACGCCCACTGGTTCGTCCTATGGGAAGAAAGTAAGTAACTATAGATGTTATCACTAGTACTTCATATGATACATTAAAAATCAAAAGAGAAACTGATAATTTTTCTTAATCACTTATGCAGGGGCTGGCTAGTTCTGTCGGGTGCTCTTGACCCCCCACGCACCCCCGCTACCGTCCTGGGATGTCTGTGCAGGAAACACTTCCCTGGCCTTGTGGACTTGAAAGAGGGGAGGTGGGAGCCGGCCTGGTCGTGGGACAGGTACAAGCTCGGCTTGGATGACGGGCAGGACAACAAGCAGGAGCGGGTTTTGGCGGACTTTTGGGTAAGTGTCTCACAACATAGCTCAATACATCTCCTCCATTGGTTATGTCTTTTATTGAAATAATGAACGGATACATCGTGTTTGTATGCAGAGGTACTTCAAGGCCGAAGATGGTCGAGAGACCCTGGTGGATCAGACGGCACACAGAGCCTGTAAGAAGTACGGCGGCGACATGATTCACGAGGAGCGACTCCAGGCCCACGTCAACTACTACAGGTCCATCAAGAAAGAGCCCCTCAACAAAATCGGTGCAAGAAAGGTGGCGCTGACCAAGGAGCAGTACCTTCAGGTAGGTGAATAATATTGATTCGTTTTGAGATTTAGTAGGTCCAGAATTGATCTTCTTATATGTCAAACACTTGATGATGTGTAGGTGCCGGCCTCGTGGTGCATGTCGCATAGATCGGCATGGTCGAGGATCATGGACAGGTACCTTGACCCGGCGTACATTGCAAAGCATGAGCAAGGCAAGCGGAAGCGGGCACTGAGGACCGGTCCAACTCACCACCAAAGTAGCCGCAACCTCCCCGCATTCAAGCGGCACTTGTACGAGATGTCATTTATCTATTCTAACGCTCAATTTTTCCTGATTTCTAATCATCTTGCCATCTTTCTCGCAGGAGGTGGCACACCCAGACGTGCCGGTGTCGGAGTTTGGGGCATGGGCTGTGTCCCACATGGGCCCGGTGAAATCCGCTGTCGTCTTCAACTCGGATGCCACTGCCCAGGCTTACTCTGACCCGAGCGTCCACGCTAAGGGTAGAGACTACGCGGAGGCGGTTAGAGCGCTCCGTGGCTCAGATCACAATCTGAGCACTGAGCCCCTTGAGACAGAGGTGATCGTGAGGCTGGGGCAAGGCAGGAAGCACGGGCGGTTGTGGATTGCAGACGGCGCCGACTCCTCGAGCTCTGCACCCTCTCTCTCCGACATGAGGGCACGGAGCATGGCCAGAAGCCTTCCCATACGTGCACGGCCTACTCCAATCGCGGGTCGACAAACTTCAGGTAATTCCGGTTTCACTCATCGTACATTGAATGTTACACACATTGATCAGATTTGCAATACTAAAACATGTGATTAAAACACTGTAGGCCGAGCTGGCAGAGACAAGGGAGACACAAGCGCACCTGACCACAGAGCTGGAGGCCACGAAGAAGCAGATGGCGGACATGTATCAGATCATGCAAACCATCGGGCAAGCATCGGGTGTCCAAGTGCAGTTGCCAGCTCCAGCTCCAGTTCGACACTTCACTCCTGTGAGTATGAAAGTTTAATGCGTTCGTGCCGTTGGGATTGTCGGCCTTCGTGCCGTTGTGATTTTTGGCCTTCGTGCCGTTGGGATTGTCGACCTTCATGCCGTTGTGATTGTCGACCTTCGTGCCGTTGTTTCTTGCAGGTTGGAAACCTCCCCGTGCAGGGGAGGTGTTGCCGAAATTTTCAATTTTGAGTCTAACACATGCAATCTCTTCTCTTTTGTGCAGCCTCCGTCGGCGGGTTCAAACAATCCCGCTACCGTGTCACCGGCGGCTGATCTCGTCAACCCTTCGCCGCAGTCCAGCCCTTCACCGCAGTCCGGGGGGCCACACCTGCAGTCTCCGTCGGTGCAGTAGGGATGTTGAACTTTGTGATGTTGAACTTCTAATAATAAACTTGTGATGTTGAACTTTGGTGCATTTGTGATGGATTTATTAAATATGCGTGTGCTTGTGATATATAATACATATTGGTGATATAGATGTGATGATTGATGTATATATATATATATATATATATATATATTGTCTGTTACAATGGAATGTAAAAAAAAATTGCAATTCTCGGGGTCTTTGCCGAGTGCCATGGGCAAGGCACTTGGCAAAGATTTTTCAAAAAAATAAAATAAAATTTCTTTGCCGAGTGCCTCGCCGCGGCACTCGGCAAAGTATTTTTTTTTAAAAATTCAGAAATTCTTTGCCGAGTGCCTAAACAGGGGCACTCGGCAAAGAAATTATTTAAAAAATAAAAAAAACTTTGCCGAGTGCCTGGGCAAGGACACTCGGCAAAGTAATTTTTAAAAAAAAATAAAAAAAACTTTGCCGAGTGCCTGGGCAGGGGCACTCGGCAAAGTACTTTAAAAAAAATAAAAAAAAAACTTTGCCGAGTGCCTGGTCTGGGGCACTCGGCAAAGTAATTTTTTAAAAAAATAATTTTTTTTTTGCCGAGTGCTGGGTCGGGCACTCGGCAAAATAACCGTTAACGGCCGGCGCCGCAACGGCCGAAAATATTTTGCCGAGTGCCGCCCCAAGCACTCGGTAATTTTTTTTTTATTTTGCCGAGCGCCCGGATAAAAAGCACTCGGCAAAGACCCTTTGTCGAGAAAATTTTGCCGAGCGGACTTTGCCGAGTGCTACACTCGGCAAAGCCTTTGCCGAGTGCAAAGGGCTCTTTGCCGAGTGTAAAAACACTCAGCAATGCCGCGGCCTCCAGTAGTGATGTCAAGGCTTACCTGGGCACAACGCCAGCAAAGCCCAAGTCTTGGCTTGCTTTTCCTGTGTCTGTACCACCTCTTGGTTTCAATACATAATTTGTCTCAAACTCGAAGAAATCAGGTATGAGGTCTTTCTTCTTGGTTCGAACCCACTTAAGGATTATTACTCGAAATCTCTTTTTAATTCTCTATGTATAATCCAGCGCATATCTCTTCGAAGTCCACTCAGTACTCACCTCAAGGAAGTGAAATTAGTAATCTACAAGTTGGTCAAGGCAACTTGAAACTTCAGTATAATGCAGCTGCAGCATTATCCCTGTACTCCGATAGTAAGACTCTGCTAATGTGCCACTGGATAATCTGATGTGTGCACTTCTTTTTATTTGGTGCTTTGAGTGCCCAATTGCCCATAAGATTAGCCATGGTCCAGTGTTATAGACTTATCATTAGTAGTTTAGACTCCCAAACATTATTTTCCATACCAGGTCATTTGCACATTGCTTTGTATTAAATAATGACTTTTGTTGAGTTTTTAGCTGTGATCTAAATATTCTGTACTAAATTACTACATTAACAAAATTTCAAGGTTCAAGCAAATTTTGAGCAGAAATACAAGTATTACATTGGACAGGATGTGCTCGTGAATTCTGGTTCTTCCTCCTGCGAAGAGTGAGCTTACAAGTGCTTACCCCCCAGTCTGATGAGACTTCCTTTGATGATTGGTGGGACAGAAGTTCAAATGCAGAGCTGTTCACTTAAGAAAGGGCCTCAACTCCATCATTATTCTGGGAGCATGGACTTTGTGGAATGTTCATAATTGGTGTGTGTTTGATGCTGAATCTCCAAACCTATCTAGAGCTCTGTTGCTCGCTGGTGAGGAACTTCTCTATTGGAGCTTGGCAGGGGCACGAGGTATCAATGACCTCCTTGCCCAGGGGCTGAATGAGAGTTAATTTTTGGGTCGAGGTCGCCTTCTTTGTATGTCAAGGGCTAATCTATTTAATTTGGACATAGTGGTGTGAGTGGATATGCCTTGTATGGGTTCTTATCTCATTTTTTCTTCTTAATATAGTGACACGTAGCTATGCTGCGTGTTCGAGAGAAAAAAATACATTGGACAGGATGGAAATGGAAGTGATCCTCGAGTGCACTAAAGATCCCCTTTTACCAAAAAATAGGATTTACATGTAATGGTGTTAATTCCTTTTGTCCTGTACTAAAGGCTTCTGAAGCATGCATATTCCGCCCTAATGGCACAGTTCCAGTCAAGACTGATGGTCAGGTGTGATTATGAAGGGATCAAATGGCTTCTGGAGCATACATATTCTGCCCTAATGGCACAGTTCCAATCAAGACTGATGGTCAGGTATGATTATGGAGGGATCAAATTTTGTGTGGAATGACATTTAAGTTGCAGCATCTGTTAAAGGATTTTAAAGAAAGTGACATGTGCCTTGTTTAATTCTACTTTCTCAATACAAGGTTCTTCTCACAGTTCTGCGTGGGCCCATATTGGATGAAGTGCACCAGCAGATAAATTCATGGATATATCAGGTTATTCCTACGAGAAATGCTTTTCTGAATCATCATCCATGCACCATTTATCTTCTATTTGTTTATCTTCTTATTCAAAATCTTTAAAATCTTTAGTGGATTTCTAGCTCACATTCCTTACATAACTTAGTATGTAAGACATTAGCAATGCTATTTACACTTAAATCAAGTTGTTTTGAGTAATCTGTAGGATTTGCCTGTTATTATCTGGCACATTTCAGTCATATACATGGTTTTTGTATGTTTGAAAGAGAGATTATCAGTACTAAAACTTTGAAGTTTAATTATGTGTTTTTTTGAATCTTGGTTGATCAAATAGTGATTATCCAATATTCTCTTGTTCCTAATTCTTCTTTTCTTTCCACAGATTACCAGAGTTTACAAGGGGAAGGACTATGTGGAAAATGAATTTATAGTGAGTTCTCTCCCAATAAGATGTTCTTTGCATTGCTAATGATGATTATTTTTAAACTTCACAGTTTGTGTCACATGTGCTTCTACCTTTTTTTTTCTCTCTCTATTGGCATAAGATTTTAATGTCTTCTGAACTGATAGTTCCCATGCATAGGTTGGGCCTATACCAGTAGATGATGACAAACAAAACATTTTACGCTGATTCCAGTGGAAAAGATGTAGCAACTGAAATTGGAAAAGAAGTAGCAACTAAAATTGTTACAAACATGGTGACAAACAAAACACTTTACACTGATTCCAGTGGACGCGATTTCATCAAAAGGGTATTGCAGCACTGGTACTTTTTACCTTTTATTTATTCTCTCCCAGCAAGATTTTTGTTGTCCTTTGCATAGACTGTTCTTTAGAAATGATTTTGTTAGTGATTCCTCTTCTAGTTTAGAACCTGTAATGTACTACTGAAAATTCATGGCATAATGGTGCAAGATTATCTCAAGATTTATTTCATGAGGTATTTTTTTTGCAGATAAGAGATTATCGATCGGAGTGGAAGATTTAAGTGCACCAGCCTATTCTGGAAACTATTATCCTGTGAGATTTGGTTTGTTCTCTATCTCTATGTTTTTAAATGAACAAGTTCAATAGCATCAATAAAATGGTTTCCTTTTATCGGAGTCAACTTTCGAAAGCAGTCAAGAGTGGCATTTTCCACTCAGTTGATTTAGTATTGAATTGATTATTCTCTGTTACTTTTCATAGAGAATTTTATTGGTTATTTTGGTCTCGATTCAAAGGCTATTAATTTTACTGAAAAATGGCAACACCAACACAAAATGTTAGCTCAATCAGCTATTTGTGCACTGCGGCAAAAGAAATTCGATTTAGCAATCTTTACAAAATTTTCTGCATAAGAGGTCGCTGATGATTATAAAAAGGGGTGAAGATGAAACATGAGCAAAACGTGTTTATTTCATGTTCTCTTATCACTCTGTAGTTATGAGAAGAGGTAGCGATCTTTAAGAAATTAGAATGCTGTTACAACTCTTACATGTAATTTCTGTTGCGGAAATTTGTAAAAAGATAGGTGATTATGTGTATCTTTTCAGGTTAATGTGGAGGATGACAGCAAAGAGTTGTCTGTACTGGTAGACAGGTCAATTGGAGGTTCCAGTATAAAGGATGAACAAATAGAGCTAATGCTACACAGGTCCAGCTGCAAAATAGAATGATTATAATAATCTAGTACTTCCTTTTTGTCTACCTGTGTGTGACTAAACCCTCAGTCCACCCTGTATAGGAGGCTACTCCACGATGACGGGCAAGGCGTCGCCGAGGCGCTAAACGAAACAGTCTGTCTCAACAAGCAATGTGAAGGACTAATTGCAAGTAAAATGGACTATTTTCCTGATACCATTTTAGATAGAGGTAGTCCAACTTTACTAGATGTATTGGTATAAGAATGAATACATATCATTTTTTCTGTGGAAAATATCTCACTTGTCAGGATAGATCAATTGATAGCATGATAACTACAATAATCCAGTGTCTCAAAAGTAGCTTGATAATTACAATTAAGATTTAAGTCATAAGGAGAATAATATTCTGTCACAACAAATCAATTTGTTATATTGTGACTGCAAGCATGCTGTTTCATGCAGAAATATAATGCGAAATATCTCTTTGAAATTTGAACAGATAGAAGGAAAGTACTATATAAAAATAGATCCACAAGGAGAAGGAGCTCGGTGGCGTCGGACATTTGGCCAGGAAATATACTCCCCTCTCCTTGTTTTCACAGAGCAGGTATGGGGCGAAACTTGCCATATTAACATGATTGCTCGACAAGCCATTCCTGTGTTCAACATGCACCTACTTGTTTTCCAGGCTGGAGGTAACTGGGCGAATTCGCATGTTGCAAAATTCTCTGCCATGGATTCAACTTACAGCTTGCCTGATAATGTTGCAATGCTTACCTTTCAGGTACCTGCCTCTTTATACCACTGTCGCCATAATGTGCTAAAAAGTGAAAAGTACACGCTACGGATGGACTTGTTGTTCCGGGCGGTAACGGCCTTTAGTCCCGGTTATCGCGCCGGGACAACGATCCCGAGACTAAAGGTAGAACCTTCAGTCCTGGGTCATCGAGCCGGGACTAAAGAGGGACCTTTAGTCCCAGTTGATGTTACCAACCGGGACTAAAGGGCCTTCAGCCGAGCAAACCTGGCCGCACCCTTTAGTCCCGGTTGGTAACCCTGACCGGGACTAAAGGTTCATTTTCATTTTCTTTTTTTTGTTTAATTTATTTTCAGTTCAGTTACACATATTTGTTTAATATATAATATGTTTTTATGTACGTATTCTACGCTGCTAATATAAATACACGCACGTATATAATTACATCTAATTATCATCTCGAGCATTATTATATTCGAATAAAGTATGAAACTATATATATTATAGATATATATGTATATATACAACACTTTAATAATCTTGTTCTCAAAAATAACGATATCAATAAACATTTAATTTACATCATTAGTTCCTTAGGATCAAAGTAGAACTCGCCGTTGGGATTTAACACTTTTTCTAGAAGATATCCTGCTATTGACTCTTGAACTGCTTTCAGATGATCTTTTTGCATGACCCTTCGTTTCAATCATTCAGTCTTGCATTTGAAATAAAAGGAAAAGTATTAATACATATATATATATTCATTTAAAAATAAATAAAAATTTGATATATACGTAGTCTGAGGACATCTTCAGGAGTTTTTCTTATGTGTGCAGTGATAAATTCACAAACGTAGTATCCACACAAGTTATTACCTGGTTGCTGCCGCAAACACCACTGTACGAGAAGAAGATTATTCTCATCATCTCACACGTAAATTGAAGTACGATATAGTAATTAAACACGTGGGGAAGTATATATAGTACAACTTACTGGTATTTCAACTACATTAAGTGGTGCCTTGCAATCCTTGCGGTGTTGCCGAATAAACTCTTTCCAAACACTGTGCGACCAATAATGTACTATCGTTAATAAATTATGGCAAAGTCTATTCAATAATAGTTGTGCGCGAGAGATCGAAATTACCCCTGGATAATGTCTATCATATCTTGGTATAGTGCTCGCTCTTTTCTCAATGAGTCCAAGATTACTAACCGACTTGAGTTTAACTCAATGACAATGAGTATCCAGTGAAACCTGCATTGGTTTATACACACACATACATGCATATAAGTTGTATTGATATTACATAAAATGTGTAGACTACATTATTATTAACACTTACTCAAAGTTGTACGGGAAAAGTATTGTTGTCTTGTCGTGCTGCTTCACGAAGAACTTCATGATATTCGTCTGTGCTTCAGATACCCAGTGCTCCTTGACAATAATATCGGTTTTGAATACGATATAAGAATCAATGAAGCCAACACTGGTGTCTTGTATTCTTTGGAGCTCTAACATCTGGAATCTGTATATAAATATAAGTTATATGTGAGGATAATTATATACACGTACCCATGGAAGTGAGTTTATTAAATAAAAGTAAGAATCACTTACAAACAAAATGAGCTAATGATTGATTTGTCCAGAGCGTCCAAGTGGTACAGTTGATGCAATTCTTCGAAACTAATATGTAAGATATCATCGCCACGAAAGTAATGATGGTCTCTAAATCTGACAAAGATCCACTGCTCACCCCTGCCACACGCCTGCATGTACCACTTATTGAGCAAGTACATTTGCGTACCCAATTCATTTAGAGCCGCAGGGTTGTACAGACTTTTGCCAAATTTATAAGTCTTCCAGGTATCAACTTCCAGGTTCTGGATTGGAGCTTTGCCCGTCACTTGATCCAAGGTTAAACTAGTTTGTTCAAAAAAAGCATTAAGGTCTTGAACCGATACTTCTCCAGAGTTGTCTGGTCAATAGATTTCTATGTTGGAACCATATTCATTAGCAACAAGATTTTGCATTGCTTGCTTCTGTTGTCCGAGCTGTGGGACATCCTTCCCTAATGCTCTTTTCCTTTTCTTATGTGCATCATGTGACTTCACGAGGGAGCGGTCATAGTCTGATAGTGGCGGAGGCTTACGAACTTCAAGCATCTTTTTTCTTGTGAGCTTCGACCTTCTGCCTCAGCTGATCTCGTGGTATGTAAAAGTATGATTTCTCCTTAAGCTTCGCTTGTCTCTGCTTTTGGATATCTATAAAAAAATCTTTCACTTTTTTTGTCTTCTTCAGCTGCTATTTGCTCATCAGTCTTTTCAGGAAGTATTTCTTGAGAAATAACTCTTTTTTTTGGTCTTCTTTGCCGCCAGGACCTTAGACGTCTTTGTAGTGCATCGCTGTGGAGGGGGTGGGGGCGGTGTTGGAGACCGGCGTGGAGGCGATGAGGCTGGTAGAGGATGTAGTCATTAGGACATGCGCTGCTTTACATACGAGGTATTCATCCAAATTCTCGTATTCATTGCCATGGTAGAGGATGCAGTCATTAGGACATGCATGTATCTTCTGGATTTTTAATCCCAAAGGGCAGACAACCTTTTTTGCTTCGTACGTAGTGGTGGGCAATTCATTTGGCTTCGGAAGCATCTTCTTTATGAGGTTCAATAAATTCCCAAATGCCTTGTTGGATACACCATTCTTTGTCTTCCACTGTAGCAATTCCAGTGTTGTACCCATCTTTTTTTGCCCCTCTTCGGCCGTCGGGTATAGCAACTTCCTATGATCCTCAAGCATGTGCTCGAACTTAACTTTCTCTTTTTCACTTTTGCATTCTTGTTGTGCATCACGAATGGCATCGCCAAGAGCATCATCGAGATCATCTTCTACCGCTACCTCTTCTTCATCTCCCCCCATTGTAGTATCATCAAAGGCACCATACTGAGCAATAATGTCATCAATGTCTAAATCTTCTCCTTCACCTTCTTCCATCATGACCCCGCTTTCTCCATGCTTAGTCCAACATATATAGTTTTACATGAAACCTGACTTAAGCAAATGTGAATGAAGACTCATTGAGCTTGAATATTCCTTTAAATTCTTACATATGGCACATGGACATCACATGTAACCATCCCGCTTATTTGCCTCGGCCACACTTAAGAAATAGTGCACGCCCTCAATAAAGTCTTGGGAGCGGCGATCAGCATTGTACATCCAATGGCGTGACATAATCTGCATTACACAACAAATTATGAAAACCTTGAACATAATTAAGTATTTTATTACACAACATAGATGACACACACATGGTTGATTAATTAACTAAGCCTGGCTACAACGTAAGCAATCCCAACTATCACTAAACAAACTAAAACTACAATGCACTTCAGTAACATAATTATTTCGTGACCGTACGCAACTAAAACAGACAAATCATTCTTCTGTTGAATATCAATAAGCTTCTCCTGCTGCCTCACTGCCTCATCATCAGAAGCCGCTACCTCAAACGCACCCGAATTCTGCACGTATGTAGCATAATCTTCCTCCCAGTACCAACCATCGCATCCATTGCCCTCCCACTGAAATTAAAGCCAAAAAATATTTAGTCAAAAATATTCAAGAAAAGAGGTCAATTAGCCATAATAATCAAATGCGTAAGAAACTCACATCGCGATCCGGGCACTTGTAGAAAACACGACCCTTGTTGGGTCCCTGTCTCTTGACTCGGTACTCCATCACAATCTTCTGCTTACACTTGCCGCAGATAATGAGAGAGAGTTCTGGCCTCAATCGTTTCGCAACCGAACGAGAGGCTGAGAATCCGGTACCAGTTGTCATCTACTTTCTATACTTATTTTTGCAAACTAGTGTAAATTTCACATTTTCTAAAATAATATATTTAAACAAAACTAAAATTATTTATTTATCTAACTAAACCATGAAATATGTACTATGTATAATGATAAAATACCAAACTATCAAGTGATTTTACTATTGTAAATCATCATGTGATTTTGAGCTAGAAATGACATAGAAATCACATAGCTCAAAAACATGTTTCAATAAATAACCATCCGTACTAGTTGATCTTGCTTACGTGATCATCTCGACGAGCATTTCTCCACCGGACGGCACCGTACTTGACCAAGGAAGAGCTCCGATTCTACGAGGAAGGCAACACAGTCTTCCACGACCGTTGCCGCTCTCCCTCGTAGAATCAAAGCTCCTCCTTGACGTCCGTTACCGCTCGGCAGAGAACATGCTCGCCAAAATGAACACGGTCCGCAAGTTCAACTAGTACGGATTTTCTATAATTTTCTAACTATTTTCTAAGTTTTTTATTTCATGGAAAATTGAATTCTAAAAAATAAAAGGCATGATTTCTAAGTATTTCATTTCATGGAAAAAATAATTCTAAGTGACCTGCTCGATATCGGCGAGCTCGCGGGCGTTTAGGTTGCCGAGGATAGTAACATTTGTAGATGACATTTGTAGGTCTGAAATTATCAAATGGAAAATTTAATTCTAAAAAATAAAAGGCATGATTTCTAAGTATTTCATTTCATGGAAAAAATAATTCTAAGTGACCTGCTCGATATCGGCGAGCTCACGGGCGTTTAGGTTGCCGAGGATAGTAACATTTGTAGATGACATTTGTAGGTCTGAAATTATCAAATATCCATCAAATTATAGCTCAAAAACATGTTTCAATAAATAACCATCCGTACTAGTCGACCTTGCTTACGTGATCATCTCGGCGAGCATTTCTCCATCGGACAGCACCGTACTTGGCCAAGGAAGAGCTCCGATTCTACGAGAAAGGGAACACGGTCTTCCACGACCGTTGCCGCTCTCCCTCGTAGAATCAAAGCTCCTCCTTAACGTCCGTTACCGCTCGGCAGAGAACATGCTCGCCGAGCTGAACACGGTCTGCAAGTTCAACTAGTACGGATTTTCTACAATTTTTTAACTATTTTCTAAGTTTTTCATTTCATGGAAAAATTAATTCTAAGATCACGTAAGCCGCCGGGGACGAGGATGGCGCGTGCTCCAGCAAGGACGAGCGAGGCGTGATTTTGATGAACTAATTTAACTTTTATTTATCCAAACATATATGCAAATCATCATATGATTTTGAGCTAAAAATGACATATAAAATCATAATAAAGTCCAACATATAAAGTTACATATGCATCTATATTGCAAAATGAGATAAGCTACTGATAAAACATAAGAGATTAAGTTTGTTACCTCCAAAATCAAAGAGCAACACCAATGGAGGGGGAGAGAACAAGAACAACAGCAAGCTGAAGAACAGAGGCAGTGAGTTTGAATGGAATGGCTCGGGCTCAGGGAGGAAGAAATGAGCTGGTGTATAGGCCGGGATAATTAGTCCCGGTTAGGGGGCTAAACCGGGACTAAATATTAATATTTATTCCCGGGGCATCACCTAAACCGGGACTAAAGATCCCTGCTCCGCGGACGACCGTTGGGCAGGGACCTTTAGTCTCGGTTGGTGACCCTTTAGTCCCGGGGACAAAAAATGCCGAGGCTAATGTCAAATTGGGACATCGTTCTAAAGTCTGTTCTCCCATATGGCTGTTAGAATTTAGAAGCTTCATTTTCCCTTTTTCTAGAGTAGTATGTTCTGTGCATTGGTGCCCAGTCCTGCTTGGTTTGATCGATGACAAAAAATGACATGAAACCATGCACCCTTTTTAGATATATATCACGACAAGTGCAAAACTGCTGTCTAGATTTATTTCTTTGCATATCAGTACTGCATGTATATATATCTGTTTAAAACTTGGTTATATCTGTCAAATGTTTGCTCATTACACAGGAGCTTGAAAATGGAAGTGTTCTACGGTTTGCTCATCTATATGAGGTTTTGCACTGTATCCTTACTTTCGGTTGTTACAGGTCAGGTAAACCTATTTTCTTTCCTAAGTCTTTTCCTATGCTGTTGTGCACATAGGCCGGGGGCAGGGAGCACAAGGATCTTTCAGCTTTAGCGAGTCTTGACCTCAAGAGAGTGTCCCCAGCTTGTCTTCGACACACTGTTCTTTGATTTACACTTATTATAGTCTTCAACAGCATTCTAACTCAGATTCTTGATCCTCACTCCAGATTGGCAAGATCATCGAGACAAGCTTATCGGCAAACCAAGAACGCACAGCCGTTGAGAATAAGCGCTTGAAATGGAAGGTGCAAGATTTTGCTGCTGACGAGAAGGTGGTCCGGGGTGGTCGTGTGGATCCTTCGAAGCTTGTGTTGTTGAGCTGGGGCCAATGCAGATCCGCACATTCATCATCAGCTTCGATCACAACATCAGTGACAAGCAACTGCTCTGATCACTGACGAATAGGTCTGGACGGCGAAGTCAATGTTGCACTTTATCTTGGCTCTCCTTCGGTTAGGAAATAAAAAATAATGTGGCCAGGCCGGCCATGATGTCATTATGGCCTGCTGTGGGTCAGGGTAGTCACACCGGTTCTCAAGTACTCCCTCCGTCTAAACAATAGAGTCGCTATGAAACCGTGCTGATCAAACTTTTTCAACTTTAACTAGATTTATAGAAAATACGTACAATATTTAAATAAGTTTATTGTGAAAGCATATTCAATGATCTACCTAATAATACTAATTATGTACCATACGTATTAATATTTTCTTAAATATATTTGGTTAAAGTTAAAAGTTGCTGACTTTTTAGGAAGCGAGAATGACTCTTTTTTTTTGAGAGAGGGAGTATAAGGCTAAGGACCTGTTTATAATTTCACTGCCTGAATTTTTAGATTATTTCAGGCAACACTCATGTACTACTAATTATAGTACAAGTAAATTGTCACTTTTGTAGTTTGTTATGTTATTTGTCTTTGTGTTATAACATATCAAATTTTTGTCCTTGTCTGACTAGAAATAATTGTAAATTGTTAAATTGTCTTTGTGCCAATACATATAAGATTTTGTCAGGTTTATGGTTTTGTCTAACAGTTTTTTTTATTATCGGAACAAAAAATTGCAGATTATGTTTACAAAAATTGCAACGACTGCAATTTTAGTATAAAATATATGCAATAACCCTCGGCTGAAACAAAACTAAAATTCAGACACTTAAAATTTAGCAAATCCCTTATAATTTATATATAAGGCAAATTTAGCGTCAACATGTGCAGCGACGCCCGTCAACATGTGGATGAACCGCCGACAAGAGGTTTCAATAACAGTACGCCTAGTGCAAGACCTGTCCGGACGCACATCAGAAATTAGCACCCGCGTACTGAAAACAGCATCGTGGCCTATCCGTTCCACACCCGGAAACGAACTTGGCTGTCGCCATATGCTCGCTTGGGCCATTTTGCCCCTGCGGTGGTTGGCTCTGGTGGGCTCACACGCCATTGGAAATTTTCCCCATGCGTTAGGGTTTTAGTGCCCTTTATTCGGTCACCATCTCCTTCACTCGCTTTCGACTCCCTCTCGATCGCTTCCTCGCTCACTCCGCCTCCTCCCTCCCATCTCTCGGGTGTGGCAGTGTGGTTGGACCACGACGTCGCCTCCATGCTTGGGGCCTCTCTGCTGCTCCGCCTTGTCAGCAGTGTGGAGCCTTCCTCGCCTTCGTCTCCAGCAGTCGTTTGAGCGCACAGGTTCTTCTTCCCCGTCTCTGAGCTGCTGGTGGGTGGAGTCCTTGGTGGTATTCGACACTAGATCTGCTTCCCTGTAACCACCTTTCACCTCTTCTTCAGTGCCTCCCCCTCCTCCCTTTGTCTTAATTAAGCAAGGTAACTGACCCCTTCAACCCTCTAGTAGCCGCGTTTCACCTGTGATGTTCGATTAGTTTCATGTGGTCCTTCATGGTTAGGGCTGCGTGATTTATCTGCTCGTTTTTCTGATACATTTCATATGTAATGTTTCATTTTGGGTGATTCTATAGTGACTCATTCTTTGATGTGCTCATATGTTATTGTAGATCTGCGGTTCTTTCTATTACGTGCTAATTTCGTCCTCCCTCGCACTTAGATCCTTGATCTCTTGTTCTAGGGTTTACTGTTCACCTGTTTACTGAAACATGGTGGTACTTGGGCATGTTTGTTTCACTGTATTTACATGTCGATGATGTTAAGGATGAGCCGCTGGGTGGCTTCAATCCATGAAGCAGCTGTGACTATGACTCGTTGCCCATTTTTTATGAGCTTTGTACTAGTGTGCACATTTGGAAGCCAGCAAGGCATGCCTGAGTTCTAGAACTTGTAAATTTTAATGCTTCCTGTAGATGGATGCCAACCAGACTAGGTGTGCTATGGCCTCACAGGCTGCTGCTATGGTGGTTGTTATGGTTGCTTTCTTATCTACCAGACTGAAGAGAGTTAGGAGGGGCACTGAACCAGTAGTTTATGGTCCTAGGCTTGCTGCAGATGAGCATAGATAGAAGAACACCTCTAGTTAATCTATAACTCCACTTATACAGAGTGTTTGGCCTACTAAGGATGACTAGAGCACCTTTCTTTTCTCTGTGCAACCTTTTTAGGAAGAGGGATTTTGTTCATGATAGCATCAATTCTAGTGTGGAGGAACAAGTGTCTTTGTTCCTTCATGTAGTTGGACATAATCATAGGTTTAGGGTCATCCACCAAAGCTTTAGGAGGCCCATAGAAATAATTAGCCGCCACTTCCACCAAGTGTTGTATGCAGTTGGGGAATTAAGGTAACTAGCTTAAGTCAATGTTTATTTGTAGGTTTAATTATTAATACACAATTGTTCTGATGGCCACTGGTATTTCTATTTAGGACCGCACAGGTGCCATTATTGATGGCACCCATGTGTTGGCAAGGGTGCCTAGGTACATACAGGATGTCTTCAGGGGTAGAAAAAGCAACCCCACACAAAATGTTATGGCTCCTATTGACTTTGACCTAAAGTTCACTTATAGCCAGGTGGGAGGGGTCTGCACATAATGCATTGGTCTTGGCTGATGCTATTGAAAGGATGATGGGTTGAGGGTGCCTGAAGGTAAACAAACTGTCCATAATGCAATAGCAGCAATTTAGGTTGCTCTTACTGAAAGGACCTTGATGTCGCCTAGAGGAGGGGTGAATAGGCCTGTTTAAAACAAACTCGCAGCGAAAGTTAAATTCTAGGTGCGGCACTGTTGCTCCCAAGGTGTAGCACTGCCTCGCCTGCAGACAAGCTCGAACTACAATTCAAAAACTGCCCAAGAAAAAGTAGATCGAGCAAATTGCTGATGTTCCTGGGGTAGTGTAGAGCCTATTCCACCACCTAGATGTTGGCGGAAGTGCACGAGCAAGTAGATCAGGACCAAACCCTAGAATCACCATAAATACAAGTATAGCAATGCAAATCATAAGAACACAAGTGAGACACCGATTTATCCCGTGGTTCAGCTCGTCACTAAGGCTTGTCTATGTCCACGTTGTTGAGGTAGCCACAAAGACTTTGGTCTCTTTCAACCTTATCCTCGTTCTCAAGTCAAGAGAATTGTAACACCCTAAAAATTGCTCCTTTTGAAATAGATGTAAATTGAGTTAATTTTGAATTTTTTGTGCTTATGAAAACATAGGAAAATAAAATTTTTCATTAAATTAAAATTTATCATAAGGCTTAGCAACATTGTAGTGCATTCATGCTGGTGCATTTGTATTTTTGTAATGAGTGGTTTTGGTCTAAATTCAAAATGTTTCAAAGTGTTTTTGAAAATGATTCAAAAATAATTTTGAAATAAAGAAAAGAAAAGGAGAAAGCTTTCCCTCTCTCTTGTTCTGGCCCAGAGCAGCCAGCCCGCCCTGCTCTCCCTCGAGCCCACCTCCTCCTTCCCCGCTTGGGCCAGAGCACCGCAGGCCCAGCTTGGCCTCTCCCTCTCCCCTCCGAACCTCTCAGCCCAGTGGCAATAGGCCGTCCTGGCAGGAGGCCAAGGCCCACGTGCAGCTGCATCCCCACACACCAGCCGCTGATAGGTGGGCCCCACTTGTCAGCGTCCTCGCTGTCTTCTTCCTCTCGTGGCTGAGCAGGACTCTGTTCTAAGCAGGATTCCACCGCTGCCCCGACTCTGCCCGATTTGGCGTGCGCGCCACGCCTTCGCCCCCATAAATAGTAGCCCTACGACCACCGCCTCCCTACCAAGCCCTAGAGCAAGCCGCATTGCCTCCACCTGAGTCATCGCGCTATTTGAATCTCACCGAGAAGGAGCTCACCGCCGCCATGCTCGCCTAGCCACTTTGATGCCACCGTAAGCCGATCCCAAGATTCGCGTTGAGTTTGCGAAGCCGCCGAGCCCCTTATTTCTTCTTTTCTCGCTCTAGCTCACTCACGCTGCATCGCCGAACCTTCACCGGAGCTCGCCGTTCGCCCCACCACGCTATCCGATGCCATAGACCCATCGTCGACCGCAAGAAGGCCCTAGGTGAGTTCACCGTCTTCTCCTCTTGTTCCCTGTGCTCTGGGCTCATCAAACCGTGGCCTCTAGGGCCCAAACCGAGCGCTTCGGCAAGCTTCTTGCCGCCGGTAATGGAGCTCCGCCGCGCCGGCTTTCTTCTCCGGCCGGTGACTCTCTCCCTCCCCGATTCTAATCTAAGCCGTCCATCTTAGATCTAACGGCCATGATCGCACCATTTCGGTTTGGCCGATAGTTTTTCAAAAGAGCCCTAGCATTTTTGTAGATTAGAACCCGTTGTTCCAGTACTTTTGCTAAAGAGACCCTCGACTTTTGAATAATCTAACCCGTAGTCCATGGCGCACTTCTAGAATACGTTTTCCTATTCTGAAAGCGTAGTTTCTTTCTAGTAGATTCAAAATACGTTTTCATCTATTTACAGTTTTGCCACTATTTTCTCTAGGCCATAACTTCTCCGTTTTAACTCCGATTTGATCCGTTCAAGTTGCGTTAGATTCATAATTGAGTAATCTACATATTTATACTATTGTTAAATATGTTTTCAACTTTTGAAATTTGAGGTTAGATTTAATCTATTATTTTATTAAAGAAAATCTTGGTTAATTCATAACTTCTTCGTTATAGCTCTAATTAGAGTGCTTCTCGCGTTTGTGTGTTCGTAATAATGTGTAGAATGTCTTTAAAACCTTTTCACTCACTATTTCATATGTCCAGTGTATTGTTCTAATTTAGTTCTATTGTTTGCGTCGTGTATGATTGCATGGATGCTTGTGTGGTGCTTTATGATCATGTCCAGTCGGTGAGCTATACGTGGTGAATCAAGAAGCAGATCTTTGAAGCTTTGGACTAGAAGAAGGATAAGAGTTTAAGGCAAGTATAGCATGGGATCTTCCTTGTTGTCCTATCAACTTTAATATATTTAATTCATATTGCATGTGTCACCTTGATAGGGATTCCCTAGAATTGAACTTATACCTTGTCTCCTATGGGATATGCATTGGGTAGCTTTGCTAGTGCTCAACTAAACCATGATCTTGTAACTGACTAATGGTATATGCAATAAACATTAAAACATGACTTTTTAGCAACTTGAAAATAGGGGGCTGGAGTGTTTAGCTACTTTCTAAATGCTTCAGATTCCTCTCCCTAAGGACTTATCTATAAGCAAACATCTGGGACTTACAGTACAACTGTGAGGGCAACATGGCTCTGGCTTTAGCTCAGTATGAGGACATTTTCTAGCTTGTTAGAGGTTACCTTTATGGCATAAGAATGGCTTGATGAATCAGGTATAGGACAGCCTCTACTCTTATGTGTATAGCCGTGATGGACTTGTGCCATTCGACAGGGGGGTTCCTATATCTGTTTGCCGAGTGAATCTAATGGCCCTAACTTGTTAGATGAACTTTTGAAAGGCTTCATAGTGAACCCTGCCAACCGTCCTTGGTAGTGGATCTAGAGGTTGGCCACCTCGAGCGAAAGGGTAAATCACGACTCATAGTGAAAGTGTACAACCTCTGCAGAGTGTAAAACTGGTATATCAGCCGTGCTCACGATCACGAGCGGCCTTGGACCCTTATGGAATAGATGATGACCACTGATGCTACTGATGATAAAGATGCTCACTAATGATTATTGTTTATGCTATTCATTATTCATGTTTACCTGATCATGTGTTTATATGGGCTTGTGAATAAACTTTTTGCCACCCAATTGCTAAAAGATGACTCATTAAAAGCTAATCATAGTTAAACCAGTGTCAGCCTTTTGAGCCTCATGAACCCCATGTTATATTTGTTGAGTACGACATGTAGTTACGCTTGCTTTACTTTTTATATCTTTCGAAAAATCCATCATGGGTACCAGATTGCTAGAGTTTGGAGGAATTAGGCTTGTGATCAACTAGACAGTTGTCCCTGTCGAATTGAAGTCTTCACCCGAGTTTCAGAGTTGTCTTTCCACTGTTTGCTATCTAATGTTATATTCTTTATACTAAGTACATTATATATTGAGCATTGTCTTTTGATATTACCCTTATTTGTAGCTATATGTGAGATTTGACTTCCTGGGCTCACATATGGTGTGTATCTAGTTTTGTTCTTAAAACCAGGTGCTACAAGAATGAACTCTTAAGATGAGGGGTGATTTCACTAGCTAATTGAGGTGATTACAAACCTCCTGGGGCTGCCACACGAGTTGGAAAGCTCCACGGGCGATGCTCTAGCCGGCTAGGAGCAAGCTCCAAGAGTAACAAACACAATCCACTGGCTTGAATGTGAACCAAGTGTTCTAGGAGATGATGAACAGTTGGGGCTGCTCTCTAATGCAGTTTGGAGGCTCAAACTCTCTTGGGTTTGGAAGGGAATCAAAGAGAGAAGCTTGAGGGGCTCCAATGGTGAGTGAGGGAGAGAGAGCTGCTTTCTTCTATTCTTGTACGAGCTGAATGAGTGGAGTGCTCCAAGAGAGCCGTTGGGGACGAAGAGAAGGGGTATAAATACCCCCTGCTCCCAACGGTCAGTTCAGTCATGGTAGTGCCGCGGCTGAACTGTAGCAGTGCCGCAGTGCGGCAGTGCCTTGCCTAAACTACGGCAGTACCTCAGTGCGGCAGTGCCTCACCTACCAAGCAGTACAAAAGATAGGATTGAAAAGCTTGCTATCTTGGCTGAGGCTTTAAGGATATTTGGTTGCACATTAAAGCTTGTGCATTGTATCCCCCTTTATAGTAAGGTTTTTCCTAAACTCAAATTCAAAATATCAAAGAATTTAAACACCTTTAAGTTGGTCACCGCATCCTTTTTATAATTGGGGGCTCCACCATCGAATGTATTGTCCTCATTCCCATTATACCTTGAGCATGTGACTTGAACCATTTCAACACATGTGCGTTCAATCAATGGCTTCAAGTCACTTCCAATAATGATTTGATCCTCAACACAATATGACTCCTCATAGCTCGATTAGTTCCTCGAATCAATGCAAGTACTCTCTTCTTCACCTTAGCCATGGTACCTTGGTCCTCAAGCCATCGCTTGCCCTTCACCTTTGCTTAGTCCCTCGAAGCCCTTTCCTTGCTATCTTCACCTTATCAAGCCATACTCAAGTCACATCATATTAAGTATCCATTGAAAAACCATTTCTTCAATAGTATGATCCTTTCTTGAATATCTTCTAGATATGAATGTTGACATCAATCAAGCTTTAGTTTGATTCACATAAAGACATATATGAATCAACATAAAAATGGTCAAGCCAATTCACGATTCCTGATATCCTCTTCATTTTGGCTTGACACTCCTAATACTCACATCAATATCTATGTTCATACTTCTAGCTTGATCAAAGCAATGCAAAGTGATTTTCCAAATCTTCATCCATAAACCAACATAGAGACTGACTTATATCCAATATGAGTTGTGTCCTTTGTCATTTAAACCTTTCCTTGGTATTTCTTCACTTATGTATTCTTGAGTCATTCTTCAATCCTTGATCAAAGCTAATCCACTATCAAACTCTTCTTGTTCATGCAAAGCAAGCCATTATAGAGACCAATCCAAAATCATCAACTCATGTCTCATTTGCCATTTGCCAAATATGCTTGCTTTCACATGATGCTATGATATCCCACAACATAAAAGCCATTTTATTGATTCCATTTGCATTGTTGTCTTTTGCTTGAACTAGAATGTTTCCACAATCTTTCAATACAACAATACACAATTTGGCCTTCATTACAACACTATGTGGCATATCATCAAGTTTGCCTTCTTGTTGAACCTATATACACTTCTCATTCCACAATCTACAAGTGTATGCAATAACCTCAATTTCCTATTCAACACTTAGCAAACTTGTTAGACCTTTAATGGTGTTGTCATTCAATTCACCAAAACCCACTAAAGGGCTAGATGCACTTACACTTACATTCACACTAGTCATTCCTAGAATTTATTTGTAGGCAAGTTGTATCTAGTGGATGCCGGTTACGCTTGTCGCAATGGTTTCCCACCACCTTAGAGAGGTGTCTGTTACCATTTGTCTGAGTATGGGGTGCCATTACCCTACAAATGCAAGAGAACTATACAATTTATGACACTCCTAGCTAAGAGTGACTACTGAGAGAGTTTTTGGGACTTTGAAGAACCGCTTCTGCATAGTAGACAACAAGCCCTTCCACACTTACAGGACCAAAGGCAAGGTGGTTCTTGATTGCTACATTTTACACAACTAGATCCTTAGCTTTGGCACTGATCAAGTGGTCCTGATTGAGGATGAGTGGCTATCCAACCCTCCACAAGCTTCCCAAAGCTAGCTAGTTCATGAGTTACAGACCCAAGAGGCCACTGGAATGGTTGCTGTGAGGGATGCAATCCTAGATTCCATGTGGCCAATAGGGGGACTACTAGGATTTGAAAATTTCATGTAACTATACTACTATTTGTAATGAACAAAGGAAACCTTTGTATGGTACCATGTTGTAGTGCTTATGACAATTATGTACATGTGGGCTTTGTTGAGAGAATAACCTCTTCAATATTTTATCCCTTTCCATTTAATGTCTATGCTACCATGTCTATAATTTGTTTGTGCCTACCTTGTTTCCCAGTAATGTGAGGCATGTTTCATGAGTTACCTTGCTAGTTGCCCGAAATAGGATGACTGGTCTTGTGGTGTTGAAGTCCCTGCTGCTGGATTTGGCACTACATCTTCCCTCTTGCCCCATGGTGTTGGGTCTACTGCTAGGGTTGGGTCTGCTGCTGGGGTGTTTATGTCCCTGGGTCTGGGGCTATGGGTGGTGCCTCTCTTGTAGCTGCTACTGCTCCTGTTGATGCCCTTGCTGGTGGGGCTGCTACTAGGCCACCTATGAGGTGGACCAACAACTCTAGTGGCTTTGTGCTGCGTAGGATGAGTCAACTCATCCAAACTGGGGCAAGGGATGTCAAGGGTTTCAAGGACAAGGATGTCAACCAAGTAGCAAAGGCCCTTAGGGAGTACTCTGGGGAGAAGGTGACCTCCACCTAGGTGTACAACCACCTTAGGAAATGGAGGTAGAGGTGGGGAAGGATCTACATGTTGAAGGACCTGAGTGGGTGTAACACCTGTGTTTTTGCATCATGTTAAAATCCACTAAAAATGTGAACTTTTTAAAATTTACAACAAATTAAAACCATGACTAGTTATTTTTCCACAAAACCGTTTTAAAAATGTTTTCCGAAAACCCTGCATCAAAATTCACCATATGCATTTAGGTTAGAATGTTGGAATTACTTGAGTGCTTGTGTGTTCGAATGCTTGTTTGAATGCTTGCTTGATTGCTTGTGTGTGATTGCTTTTCTGGAATTTATTTGCGGCACCAAAATAACCTTCCTTAATTATCAATTGCATTCTTGAATTATTTGAAAACTTTTCCTTTATATAATAGAGGTAGATAGTACATCATAGATATAAGAAATATTTATTCTCTAGGAATTATAATAGCCATTGCATTAATAAATTATAGATTTAATTATTCCTTTTAATAATCCCTTCTGAATTTACATTTAGTTAATTTATAGTTATATATATTAGGAAAAGCTAGAATTATGGAATCACTACTTTCTATCATAGCTATAAAAGAATATAGAATATATTTAGGAAATGCATCATGGATATTAGTATTACATTCTTTTGTTCATTTTTTGGGAAAATAGAAAGGATTTCTTAAATGAAAAAGGGTTCCTAGGCTCAAACTTCTCCCTCTCCCACTTCTGGCCCAGGTGTGGCGCACCCCTCACCTCTCCCCTTTCCCCTTTGCCCGTAATGGGCCGGCCCAGCCAGCTGGTGTAGCCTGTCCCTTCTCTCCCTTCCCCCTCTCCCTGCGTGGGCCGGCGCCAAGCCTACGGGCACACAACCCATCAGGCATAGCAACAGCCCATTCTCTCCTCTCTCTTCCTTTCCCCGATGTATGGGGCCCGCTTGTCATCTTCTTCTTCCCTAGGAAGTCAACGAGCGCTCTATGCCGCTGTCGCTGACCTACTGTATCACACCGCCTTCCCTCGTTGCTGCCTTCCCCATGTGAATGGATGAGGACGCCAGCTCACCTCCGGCTGTTGCCAAAGATATTTCTCCGGGCCACCGTGTCGGCGTTTTGAGTTGCCACCGACAAGTAAATTTCTAATATTGCGTGTCTGGCTCGAATGGTGTGCTTAGAGGACACGAGGTTTATACTGGTTTGGGCAGAATGTCCCTACGTCCAGTTCATTGCTGCTGCTCATGTTACTAGCACTAAAAGTTCATAGTAGGGGTTACAAATGAGCGAGAGAGGGATAGGTCCCAAGTCTCTTGTGAAAGGAGTGAACAGGTCCTGAGAGAGCTCGGTTGCTACTCGGCCAAGTGTTCGGGGTTTGATGGGTTCATGATGGTTCGATCGGATCTAGCCTGAATCGATATGATGTGTTGTGATGCCCCTTATGGGACGCCCTGCTTTCCCTTTTATAGGCCAAGGGAAAGCATGGTTACAGTAGAGGAAAAAGAAGAACGAGAGAGAGAGAGAGAGAGAGAGCCGAAGGCCTTTAGGATCGTCGGGTCCATCTTCTCCTTCATGCGGGTCCCGACGGCCCTGTAGATGTCAACAGGGACGGCTTCGCACCGCGGTCCTGTCCATCACTAGCGCTATGCGCAGGCATCATATGCCGGTTATGGCGCTCCACTCCGTCCTAGCGAACATCGTGGTGAACTGACACGCCCGTTAGTGTTCATACAGGGGTTAGGCCGAACAACATCGGTACGCCCGATGCTGTTCTTAATGTGAATCCTTGGGTATGGCCATTAAGGCCATGTGTTACATCGGGGTGTGCTGGTCTCTTCCATGGTGTCAGAGCTTTGACTCTGGCCCATACGCTTGGATTTGGAGTGGTTGGTGGTAGCATGGGTCTCCATTGGGTGAGACAGAGCCTGTGGCCTTGGGGTCGGGCGAGGCGGAGTCCTCCCCTAGAGGCCGAGCGAGGTGGAGCGCAGACCCAATGGTCGGGCGTGGCGGAGCATAGAACCAAGGGTTGGGCGAGGCGGAGCGTAGGCCCAAGGGTCAAGCAAGGTGGAGCGTAGACCCAAGTGTCGAGCGAGGCAGAGCCCGCACCCTCAGGGTCGGGCGAGGCGGAGTCCTCCCCTAGAGGTTAGGCGAGGCGAAGCACAGATCCAAGGGTCGGGCGAGACAGAGCGTAGACCCAAGGGTTAGGCGAGGCGACGCATAGACCCAAGGGTCGGGCGAGGTGGAGCGTAGGACCAAGGGTCGGGCGAGGCAGAGCGCAGACCCACGGGTCGGGCGAGGTGGAGCGTAGACCCAAGGGTCGGGCGAGGTGGAGCACAGGCCCAAGGGTTGGGCGAGGCGGAGCATAGGCCCAAGGGTTGGGCGAATCAGAGCCCATAGCCTCGGGGTTGGGCGAGGCGGAGTCCTCCCCTAGAGGCTGGGCGAGGCGAAGCACAAACCCAAGGGTTAGGCATGGCGGTGCCCTCTCCCAGAGGCCGGAAGAAGTAGAGCTTGCACGCCGAGGGGTCGGTTGGAGCTGTAGTCACGCTCTTAACTACTCGGATGAGTCAATGTTGATGGTCATTAGCTCCTCCTCTTTGGGTACCCTAGTATTGGTCCCCGATAGTATCCCCCGAGCCTACGGAGGAGTAGAAAACTCCTTCGGAGGTTTTTCTGAGCGGGAGGACTCTGGTGGCCTTGGCCTTCTTTTGTCGCCCACAGCGTGAACTGGGGACAGTGATTCCCTTTTGTTGAGATCAGACCCCTTGGGGGTATAGCCATGAGGTTTGGTGGGTCAGAAAAGGTCCTTCCCTAATTTTGACCCCTTCGGGGGTCTATCATTCTATGACCGTGCGTTCGGTCTCCTTGTGAGCCCAACTTTCCTCGAGACCCCACGCGTAGCGGGGGACCGATTGAGGATCAGCTCATCTTTGTGATCATCACCCCATCCACGGTTTCCGCAACCGGAGGGGCTGAGCCATGCCATAATTTTCCTCTATGGACGAGCCACGGTGCTTGGTGAGTTGTTAGATGGCTAGTCCAAGTGGGGCCCCGGCATCCCATTCATGGGGATCTGGCTCGGGTCAACTGGTGACTGATTCCAAACCCTCGGCGGTCAATCCATATAGTTCTTGGATCCGTTCAACTAGTCCCGAGGGCCTTCTGCCTTTCTTTCGAGGAAAAAACCATAGATCGTATCCAGCCGAGACTCGAACGTGGGCCGGGATGCCAGCGGCACTCGTGCGCCTAGGTACCGGCTGCTAGTGGGCCCATCACTTTCCACCCCTCACTTCAAAAAGGCGCCCGGAGCAGTTGTCGAACCCATTGGTGGGGCAACCTTAGAACTCCTAGGCCTAGACGGGCCACAATAGAGTTTTTAGCTCCATATCCCTTACCTGTGATGGGTCGTGGTCCATCTAGAGAGGCAAAACACCCGATGAGTTTGCCGAGGGAACGAACAGAGATTGTGTGTGCACGTACCACAGCAAGACGTGGCGGCAGATCATGACAGGCATGGAGATCTAGGCAGGTGGTTGGTTTCCTCACACCCGTCGCCCCTATAAAACCAAAGGGTTCACCCCCCGGGTTCCATACCTTGCATCGTTGCCTTCGCAGCCACAAGCATCACCGCCAATCGCTTAGGTTTCCTGCCTCCGCATCCCCGTCGCCGTCGAGCCCACATCCGTCCGCTCCCACCTCCAATGGATCCATGGTGCCGCTCTGATATCACCTTCCAGCGCATGGAAGGCCTCGTCCATCATGGTCTTCTCCACACATGGGCCTCGGCCGAGGAGTGGCTGCTGCCTAGAGAGGAGAATCTACCATCGCCGCCCGACGACTATGTGGTGTCATTCGCCCACTTCCATGAGAGTGGGTTCGCGACCCCACCCACAAATTTCTTCGGGGGCTGCAGCACTATTACAAGATCGAGTTGCAGCATCTCAACCCCAATGGGATCTAGCACATGGTGGCGTTTGTTGCCCTGTGTAAGGGGTTCCTAGGGATCAACCTCCACTTCAATTTGTGGAGGTACTTCTTCGCTGTCATCCTCCAAAAGAAGAGGGAGAAGTGCGGCAGGCAGGAGCTGCATATGCTGATTGGGTGCGCCCGCATCCAGCTCCAAAACAATTGGGTCAGCGAGTACCCACCCATGTGGCTCTCGATGTCCAACAAGGTGTGGCACTCATAGTGGTTCTACCTCAAGAATGACGTCGCTGCCCATCTACCGAAGTTCACCGTGCGCCTGATCGAAGAGGCCCTAGAGTCATGGAGGAAGTGGGGTGTCCTAGAGAAGGACAAGAAGAAGATCCGAGACCACATCGCTGCCATCCACATCCTGAAGGAGAACGACCTAAAGGGGTTAGGCTTCATCGAGGCCTACCACGCAAGAAGGGTGGCGCCATTGATGATGCATGCACTCCCGCTATACGCGATGGCGCCCGAGGCATTGTTCAACGGAACGGCGCTGGCCATGGGGGTGCTCCCCAACTCGAGATCGCGCAACACATCAAGGAGGCAATGGAGCCCTCATGGGATGATGCAAGTGCCCCCTTGATTTTGTCTTCCCATTGCCGGGACATCCTCTGATGTGGCTAGAACCAGGCCATGTCATCTTTGTAAGTTTCCCCTTCTCTTGTGTTCTCTTCAATTGATTTCCTGACCCCTTGATACTAACTTTGAAAGGGGTGGGGCCAGCCGAGGGATCTCATCCTCATGGATCACTCGGCGCTGTTACCGAGGGATTCAGTAGTGAGGACGGTGAATCACACTGAGGGTGAGTGGCTGAGGAAGGTGAAGGAGGACAGGAAGAGGAAGAAACAGCGGAAGCTACAGGTGTAGGAACGAGTTGAGGACACTGATAGTGATGATGATGATGATGATGCTGATGACAAGGTAGCCAATGACATTGAGTGGGACGACCTGGAGAACGAGGATGCACTGACAAGTATCGGTTCATCCTTATAGGTGTCCGGACCCTTCCCGTTCCATAGAGGGGAGGGTACATCTGGGGAGCCGG